CCCCCCCCCCGCCACGAGAACTTTCTGTGCAAGCTTATCAGAACTACTGACTGAAACAACATCTTCAGAAACTGTGGCTGATCTGAAAAAACGCTCATGGACAAATCTCAACACCTTGATGTCAAATGCAAATGTACTCATGTTTTAATTGTGCTGCTGGTAGAGTTTTTTTGATGTCTCAAATCGTGTCCTGATAGACAAGATGTGAAAGATCTTTTTTTGTAATACCACTATCTACCCTCATGTTTCTCCCCCTTTTTCTATCTAAGATTATTATTCTGATAAAGGATAAGATAATGCCGCGCTTTCTATAGTTGCAGCTTCGTGCACTCTGCCCATCTTTCGGACGACTGTACGTACATGTTTGCGTTGTATCTCGGTGCAATGCCAATAAAGTTTATTCTGATTCTGATCGGATCTGCCCCATCCCTAGTTATAAGGTCACAATGCACCTTCAATTTTCCAATCTTATTTTATTGAAAAACATACCCTTGAACAATATCTTAGAAACAATACAAACTTATTTTAACTGGCCATGAGGTAGTGCACTGAAATATACATGAAGTTTAGACAATTGTTGTTAAAACTACAAAAAAAATCTGTAAAATCGGTTTCTCATACAAGTATCAGCCGATCTCAGATTTCCCAAAATTATGGAAATCGGGACCGATAAATCAGCCGACCGACCCCTATTCATCCATAGTCACCACTATCAGAAATGTTAAGAGCTACCCAAACCAGAAACCCTGGCTGAATGCATAGGTTTGCACCCTGCTGGAAACCAGGGACACTAGGTCTAGCAACTCACAGGAGCTGAGAAGGTCAAGGAAAGAGCTGATTGCTGGTATTAAGAGGGTCAAAGCCATATATGTACAGAGGATCCAGGGTCAATTCACCTCAGAAGACCCATGGAGCATGTGGAGGGGCATTAAGTATATAACAGATTATAAAGGTAGAGGTGCACACTGCCATAGGGACTCATCACTGCCCGATGCCCTCAACAAGTTCTATACATGCTTTAAAGACCCGAACAGACCACCCAGCACCAGACTCTCTTCACCACTGGAAGAGGAGTTTCTCAGCGTGACCTCAGCTGAATACCTTCAGGATTATTAATCCTCACAAAGCAACTGGCCCAGACAACATCCCGGGGAAGGTGCTGAAAGACTGTGCCGATTAGCGGTGAGGTGCAGGCCAACATCTTTAACTCCTCCTTCACCCTGGCAACAGTTCCCACTTGCCTGAAGACTGCCACCATCATCCCAGTCCCAAAGAGCTCTATAGTGACTGGTTCGAATGATTATCGGTCAGTAGCCCTCACCCCGATAGTTGCTAAATACTTCGAAAAGATGGTCATGACCCTCGTCAAAACAATGGGGGAGTGGTGACGCAGAGGTTAGAGAAGATGGGCCTGTGATCGGAAAGTCGCATGTTCAACTCCCGATATCGTCAACATCAAAAATGCGGGTGGAAAAGGTGACACACCCACACCTGCCTCCACCCTCATTTTGCCCCACTCTGGGCCCCTAAGCAAGACCCTTAACCTCCACCATCTGCTCCCCAAAACAGGTCTCTCTTGAAAATAAGTTCTTGTGACTCAATGAGACTACCTGTATAAATAAAGGGTAAATGGAAAAGAAAAAAAAAACATTGACGTCAGCGAAGACCAACATTTTCTCTTGTCAAGAGTGGATGCCTTTCCCCTCCTCTCCCTCTCCACTTGCTTTGCTCTGTCCTGTCTATGAAACTGCTTTAGAGCCTCTCTTCTAGAAATCTTTAGAATCATAATTCTGCTATGGATTTGGTCAGTTGGTCCCTCAATGCAATTGATAACATCAATATAACTTATAGTTATCATTGATAACTTCATTCTTCGAAGACAGGCTTTAGGCGAGTCGATTTGCCCTGTTGGCACGCATGCAGTTGGATATCTCATCGACTTGGATGACTTGATGATGTGTCTATCTCTGCTGTCAATCATGGATGTTAAGGACATATTCATTTGGATTTATTATAACTGGTTTCTTGCTTTTTGGATTCAGCTGGTTCCTTGTCTATCAACAAACAAAGAAGTCGTCTGCAGCAAATTTGGCCCTGGTCAGGCTGCCTGCCTTATATGATGGCTTGGTTCATGCCACGAGCACCCAGACTCAAATGCTTTTGGCAGGATGGATCAGATCTCAGGGAATACTCTCAGGTACGATCTAGTGGTGTGGCCATTTAATTTGGATGTTTCGTAGTTGAGAGGACCGACACAGACTCAAGGTAGACATAATCAGTACAGTTCTGCCTGTCTCCAAAACAATTGTGTTTATCTGAATTTGGCTCCCAGACTGGCCTTGACAGGCCAACTTATCTTCAATCGCCTGGAAGCTCTGTAAACCTTGATGCTCTCACTTGTAAATG